AATAGGAAGATACATGTATAGAGAACGTCGACAAACTATTACTTCATACGATACAGTCCTGCGTCAGTATCCAGTTGCCCTAACTCATTGACGCATGTAATGTATTCATCGCAGCCGTTGAGGTCGTACTGTTGCAGTCAATTCAGCGTGCATGCCTGCACTGTGAGACAGGTTGGAGGAAAAGGCAAATCAGATGCGATGGTCTGTTGATGCACACGGTCCTATGTGATTTGTCTTTGAAAGTGTGTACTTGACAATGCTGTGTATGTTCTTGTACAAGAATGGACTCGGATGGAGAGCCAAGGATAAATTTATAGAAAAGAAAAAAGGACGAAGGAACTACAAGTTACGCTATAATGTCCACTAACACCACCAGTTACTAAACAATGAGCTCATGCGATAACATTGCATGTAGACCGTCAGTACCGTCGGTCAGTGCCGTACAATGTTATCGCATGAGCTGATTGTTTTATAGTAACTGGTGGTGTTAGTGGACATGTTCTTGTAATTTGTAATGTATATATTTCGGGATTCCCCAGAGGCCTGTCGAGGGGGTCTCCATATCATCATTAAAAAACTTGCTTGCATGTTGTCGGTTGCTGTGCTTGCTGTATTGCAGTTGATCAAGTGGTGACATTACACTACAGCTCTACAGCCAGTCGCAACCTGCCCGATGACAACCGGGCGCTGGTGAACGTGATGGCCTTGATGTTCACACTGCTCATGGACAAACTGCAGGACCCGTCGCATCACGTTGCCTTGCAGGCCATGATGTTTGTGGAGAACTTGCCCGTTGGCTCGCTCAAGGTGCGGCAGGCGCATAGACCGCATGGGGCACGTGCACACACACACACACACACACACACACACACACACACACACACACACCCCCCTCCGTGATAGGTTTTACTCTACAGCACCTCGGTTACAAAGCACGTATTGTTATACCTTATCCTGGCGTTTCACGGTATATACACGTACATGCTGTATGTGATGGTAAAATGCCCTATGTACGTAGGTGAAGGCCAGCTAGTCACTGAAGGAAAGAACCACTTGACTGCGAGCAGCACGCAGGTGGCACAGTAGTGTACTGGCTGCTACGGCATGCATTGCGACGCATGCGTTCTACTTCATGTATAGGTCGTTTTCCTTTGTTTTCCCTTTCATGTTGTGTTGTGCTGTGTGTCCGTGCACGGATGTAGATGATGGTGCAAGCGGCCGAGAAGCATTTCTACAACATGCCACAAGACCGGTTACTTATCCTCCGAGCTATCGATCTGTTGCTGAGTTTCTTGCCAGGGTCGGGGGCTGTTAGCGAAACCGTCTTCTGCAGAATGTTCCAGGTATGTACAGGTTTTGCGCTCTCTTTCTCTTCCTGTCTTATCTATCTATCTATCTATCTATCTATCTATCTCTATCTCTCAATAAATGAACGTGCAGCAATGTGCAAAGACGATCATGTTCAGTAGTCGTTTTGCAAAACATGATCACCATTGAAGCGTGTGAAGCTCTCCATCCCTGTTCATCAATACATGGGGATTAGTTTACCGTCTTGATAATCTAAGCATGTGGATGTGTGTTTGTGCATTCGGCAGACCCTGCAGAGTGAGGTGAACCCAAGCGAGGATATAGTCACACCCATCCTGCAGCTCTTCACCACTGGCAGCTTTTACGAGGAGATGGACTACAGTGGTGGTGGCATAGCTGACTTTGACATGCTGGATAGCTTTAGATTCTCGCGCTGTAGCACAGGAAGTACTAGTAACCTCAGCGCCAAGCGAGGCTCGATGGGCAACGACCAAATGGCCGATCTCAGAGGTGGCAGCAAGACTCGATTTCGCTTGTAAGTTTTTTTTTAATGTGGTAGCTATATTGCATACCGTGTGTGCCATTGGATTCCCTGTACATGTATTGTTGTAAAGAAGCCCTTGAACATTAATTTTCTGCTTTTTAAAAGCATAATAGTACTGATAGGTACTTGTACAGAACTCTATTTAGAAGTGGGTGATGGTAAAAATTGCCTGAGTCTTAACTGACAGAATTACGCCAGTATAATAATTATTGCTCCATGTGAAGAAGAAGTTGGTGCGACTTCGGCTATACTTGGGGAATTGTGTGTTGCTTTGATGGACTTCTCGTGTGCTCTGGATGGCAGTCGTGAGTCGGTCAAGTGAGATTTCAAGTCGGCAGGAATAGCGCAAGCTCCCACGTAGGGAGCAACACAAAATAATTGTTCCATTGTTATGCTATTTTCTATTCAACGTTCCCACACAACGATCGTTCCAACCTACCCTCTAGACAGTCCTCGACTTGAAAATTATTGCTGCCCACCATCCCCCGCCGTACCCCCACAAATTTCTTCTGCAAAACCAGGTCAAGAAGTGAAAACATTGCTCATACTGTAGTTTCAGTTCCTTCTCTCAAAGTGTTCCTGTATCCTGATCTGCTGTTGCTTATTAATTGTAAGTTCCTGGTGCTGCCCCCACGCAGAAACGCTGATTGCCATTGGTAAGATCGAGCAACTTGTCAACAAGTGTGCAACAAGAGTGACTCGGGATAACTCTTCAAGTGCATTACAACCCCCCTCACTTGGGTCCGACTTGTATTACCATAGTCGTTCCATAACGCAGTGAAGAGGGCAGTGATGTTCGAGAATAAGAATGATTTGTAAGCTTAAACAAAGTGACTGGACAAGAGCATGCACATTTTGACGAAAGTTGCTTGCTTTTTTGTTTTTTTGTTTTTTTAAATCTTGACCTGTTCTGATCATGCAGAAGCGCTGCGTATACTTACCTGGCTACATACTCGCCGGTAGTGATACACCCACGCTCGTCCAAATGCTTCAACGCGTTCGTAACGCAGGTGTTTTCTGACGATGACACCGAAGACAGCGGCGTCGGTGATAATATATCAACTAGGAGCTCCATCAGCCGGACTAGCTTTGGGCACAATGCACTGAAGAAGTCTCGCATTGTCATGATCAACTCGGAAGACAAGCGTATTGCGCCAATCGTGGTGCTGCACAAGCTGATGGCTGTGTTCATGAAGGTAAGACACCGCGAGATACTAATACATTGTAGAGTATAAGTATGAGTATGATGTCCAGCCTTCCACGGTCTATCTAGTGCGTGTCCATGTATTGGCCAAACTCTTTCCTCCACCCATCCAGCCAATGATCCACTCCGCCGCCCAAGTTTCAATTCACATACCTCAACCTAACGCCCTCTCCCATGCTTGCTCACGCTTGCATCCCTTATATCGATCTCTACAGAGGTCGATCCACTCTGCTGCTACATGTATTGCCATGCGTCCATTTACTCATCAATTCTATTGACCTGCCTTCCCCACTTTCTGTGGCAAGATCTCTGCAAGTTGAAGCGATTGCTCATCTGTGGCAGCATCTTAGCAAGTTGAAGCGATTGCTCATCTGTGGTGTTTCTTTGTGATTGCTCATCTGTGGTGTTTTCTTTTCTTTCCAGTACCTTCTGTCCCACAAGCCTGCGTTTGCGTTCTCTGCCAAGCGTCCAATGGAGAGAACGGACACAACGGTAAGTTAAGAATGCTCCAACCCCAGTGCTTATCACTGTTACCAAGAGTAGATAAGCTCCCAGGAGTGTGCAACTCTGGATGCCCTTTCTATGGCGTCCACCAATAGCGAAATCTCACAGATTGGTGTTCTACTATCACTGAATAGATATGTACATGTGTGTGGTGAATTCTCCTGTGCTTGCAGCGGCTGCTGGTGTCACTGTTGAAAGCACAGATGGGCTGCAAAATACGATCGTCCATTACTGTCTTCACACGTCCACCAGATGCAATCCGGTGAGTGTGGTGGTTTGATTGATTCGTTGTACAGCGTGGTGTGCGTGTGTGTGTGCGTGCATGTGTGTGTCCAGAGTACGTGGTGTGGTGTGTGTCAAAAAGAGAAAGAATGAAAAATGAAAAACAGGGATCCACTGGCCAGAAAAAGCCACTTCAATCAGCTGCATGGTGTAGACCAGGCTAAAATTAGTGGCAGTCCATTCACCATCAGCCTTGCTAGCTTTTGAATGGTGTAATCCCAGCACGAATTGCTGCATGTAACATACTAGTAGCTGTTCGCTATGTTACGGCCACGTTTCAAATTGTGGCTGCAACCTCAGGAGGGGGGGGGGGGGGGTGCTACGACTTGGCGGCAACACGACTGTAGACGTGAAGCGTATTTTGTGTATAACCTGGCCTGACGTAAGTTAGATTTCTCAAATTCTGAGTGTATTGGTTCATGGAACTCGGGGGGAGGGGGGGGGGGGGTAGAAGTCTGTCTCCCAACAACAGCCTGCAGCTTCCGGTCCTGGAGGTAGGATGTTAGCCAGGTCAGCAGTGGCCCGCCAATGCCATAGGTTCGGAGCTTACTGGCGAGCCCAGGGTGTGAAACATGGTTAAAGGCGCCTGCTACACTTCCGTGGCATAATTCGTTGTACTGTGTGCTCGTTCCCTGTGCCCTTGCAGAGCCCAGCCTGTCTTCAATGTCTTCCTCTTCAACATTGCAAAGGTGAGTTCATCTATGAGCATTTGTCCCATAAACTACGGCCGTGTCTTGGGCAGTATTCTGTGTATGGAAAGGAATAATAACCATGCGGTCTCCGTGGCCTCTAATATTCATTCATTCGTTCATTTGTATTTTTGAAGGATTCTCCAAAGGTCCATGTAAGTGATGATCTTTTATGAGAAAACGAAACTTAAAACAGAAGACCGCTCACCGCGTAGGCTCTCAGGAAGCTTGTTCCACACAGCCGATAAACCGAAAAGAGGAGATTTAAAGAAATGCGTTCCAGAACGAGTGTCGCTCTGGCCCTTCTCCCACATGTCTCATCTGGCTTAATGGTGGTTTAGCGTGTGCGCTAAGCCCTGTTAACGAACGTGGAACATCTACCACTCATACTTAGTCTGATGATCATGCATCTGATTATGATGTCATTGCTATACATGCGCATGCGCAGCGCGCGCCACTCTCCCACGCGTGCTTTCCAAATCTTGCTTTAGAGAGAGAGAGAAAGAGAAAAGAGAGACTCCTTTGTCACTTTGCTTTCCGACGACTTGACTGTTCACTGGTTTGTCCGTCAGTTGTCAATTTCCCCTTCCCTCCCAACCCCATTCGACTGGGGATCACTATCTCTCCGTCACTGTCACCATAATTTCCTCAATAACAGTGTCAGTACAACTCTTGTCAATATACTTATATCGGGTGAGGGCAGTCTATCTTCGCAGCTGGCTCCTTTCAATCACTACCGGTCGCAGCTCCTGCCCACGGCAGGCCGACCGTCTCTCGTTCACACTCTGTGTGCTCCAGGTCACAGCTCCTGCGCAGAGCAGGCCGACCTGTCTGTCTCTCTCTCTCACACACACACTATGTGTGCACCGGGTCACAGCTCCTGCGCAGAGCAGGCCAACCTGTCTTTCTCATGCACGCCAGCTGCCCAATATCCCTGATATGCCAACCAGAAAACAATGTGTTCTGAGCCGGGTGCATGCCTGTATGTGGAGAGTGCGTTAATGTGGTTGCCCTTCCGGGTTCTGGGTGATATATATTTCCTTAATGACAAGTGTGGTTGTTTTCCTTTGTTTCCTTTGTTTTAGGTCCTGGACTCCAATATGGACTGGGGCAATCACCTGCTCCAGTTCACGTTGTCCGTGCTCCGTTTCAGCACTGCTCCGAATCTTGAAGAGGGCTTGTCGTTTTCCGGCCCGCACTATGGCCTGGAGAACTTGGATGTTGCGTCGCAGCTTGCTTGGCTGCACGCGGCAGTTGTTATCCTCTACAAGGTGTGCTGCATTCCTAATTTGTTTGGCTAAAAAAGAATGTTCTCAAGGGAACAACTGACGGCCGCAATTCGTTACGCACTGCATCTGCTGCTGGGTTATTCCGGGTTTAATATTAGTATTTGTTTGGATGGTTGATGTGTAAATAGTAGTAAATACCTCTTCATACGGTACTGCTGAATGAAATCCAACCGCAACAGTCAAGTATGCGCCGGGCGCTATACAGCCCTAGATCTGCAAACAATGGGATGTCCATTGGTGCAGGCCGCAAAGTTGACTCACTCGATTGGATTTCATTGAGCAGCACTGCACTTTTCTGTGCTGGGTTTCTGTGGCAGTCCCGACATTAGCACTAAACACTGGCTGACTGTGTATGTGGGGAGAGTGCGTGCACACGCGTGTGTATGTGCGTGTATGTGTGTGTGTGCGTGTGTGTGTGTCCTCGCATGCAGTACCAATATCGAGCGACAGACGTACACGACTTGGTCAAGATCATCTTACTAACGCTGAACTACCGGCCGCACACCAAGTGCCAGCCGGCACGCCGACCTAGCGTCGCGTCGTCTGTCTTCTCTTCAGCACCTATTTCTTCCGCTTCCTCCACCAACACTGGCCCCAGCAGCATGACCATTGCCAACATTAAACTACCTAATACATGTAGCAACGCTACATCCGATGGCGCAGGCGGTAAGTAGTTCCTGTGGGCACGAGCCAAGCCATGCAACGTTTCATTGCGGAGGTTTAGCGAGGCGAACTTCGCGCTCGTGTGTGCACTCCCAGGACGTTGAACTCGGTGACGAAATTCGCGTTATGATGAGGATTTGCAAACTGAATTCGCAAGTGCATGATGTTGATAGGCCGTAGATGTGGGCAGACAGTACAACGTAGTAAATCTATTACTGTCCTGACACGAATCTATGATTTGTATTTCCACTGCTTTCCGAACAAAGAGTGTGAAAGTTGGCAATCCGGTTTGCATACCGAAAAAAATTGCGCGTGCAAACGCGAAATTCGTGATGCTAAACCTCCGTATTATCTGTGCGCCCACCGATGTATCTACTGTCATGATCTATTGAGCATCAGTCTCCTGATGATTTCGCTGAGGCAAGAAGATTTTCTTCCATAGGACCTTGTGTGGGAACACTAGAATCAAGTTAAGTTGCAGTTCTGGCCACCGAATCCAGTCACTTGCTCGATAGCTGCACCGTGAGTTGCATGATGGACGTGCAAACTAAGCGGCGTGGCGCGGCCCCATGATCGAGGGTGGAACGAGTCAGCGTGGCGAGAGCACAACACTGGTTGCATTTCCCTTGCCAGCACTATACATGTACTGCAGAAACTTGATAGTGGTACTTGCCTTGGATATAGCGGTACGAGCTCGTATGTCACCAAATTACAAGTAGCTCATATTTGGTGCTGTCACTTTTCTTCTCCTTTGCACTGCAGCCTCGCTGGTGCTTACTGCTGGTGACGCAGACCTGCTCTCTGCTATCGGGGTGAGTATCAGAACTACATCCTAGCTCTTGAGTGTCAGAGACGGTTTCATTGTGTTTGCTCATGTAGCGTCTACGTAGCTGGTGCGTGTGTTACGTTGCAATGTGACTGTTCAGTTTTCTACTGATGCCATGCTGCAACTGGTTGCTCCTGCTGGTGTGGATTGCTGGATTGGGAAGAGAGAGAGCATAGGGGAGCTTCTAGTCATCTTGTGTGCTGCACTGTGCTGGAAGGCAGAGCATAGGGAAGCTTCTTGTCGTCTTGTGTGCTGCACGGTGCTGGAAGACAGAGCAAAGGGGAGCTTCTAGTCATCTTGTGTGCTGCACTGTGCTGGAAGAAAGAGCATAGGGGAGCTTCTTGTCATCTTGTGTGCTGCACTGTGCTTAAAGACAGAGCATAGGGGAGCTTCTTGTCATCTTGTGTGTTGCACTGTGCTTAAAGACAGAGCATAGGGGAGCTTCTAGTCATCTTGTGTGCTGCACTGTGCTGGAAGGCAGAGCATAGGGGAGCTTCTTGTCGTCTTGTGTGCTGCACGGTGCTGGAAGACAGAGCAAAGGGGAGCTTCTAGTCATCTTGTGTGCTGCACTGTGCTGGAAGGCAGAGCATAGGGGAGCTTCTTGTCGTCTTGTGTGCTGCACGGTGCTGGAAGACAGAGCAAAGGGGAGCTTCTAGTCATCTTGTGTGCTGCACTGTGCTGGAAGAAAGAGCATAGGGGAGCTTCTTGTCATCTTGTGTGCTGCACGGTGCTGAAAGAAAGAGCATAGGGGAGCTTCTTGTCATCTTGTGTGTTGCACTGTGCTTAAAGACAGAGCATAGGGGAGCCTCTAGTCATCTTGTGTGCTGCACGGTGCTGGAAGACAGAGCATAGGGAAGCTTCTAGTCACGTTGTGTGTTGCACTGTGCTGGAAGGCAGAGCATAGGGGAGCTTCTTGTCATCTTGTGTGTTCCACTGTTCTGAAAGACAGAGCATAGGGGAGCTTCTAGTCATCTTGTGTGTTGCATGGTGCTGGAAGGCAGAGCATAGGGGAGCTTCTAGTCATCTAGTGTGCTGTACTGTGCGGGAAGGCAGAGCATAGGGGAGCTTCTAGTCATCTTGTGTTTTGTACTGTGCTCCTCTTACCTGTTCCTACACTATCATAGGAGGTTGAAGGCGAAGGCGGTGATTGTGAGCTGGACATGGTGAGGAATGGTGCCAGTGATGGTGGTTTTCCACCTGTTGTCATGTCACTGCGTTCTCAGACGAGCACGTCTGACGAAGCGCTAGCCACTTGTGAGCGCAAGCCCTCATTGGCCACCTCCATCTCCAGCTTTTCGGAGAACGTAACATCGGTGCCAGACACTTTAGCGTTTGGTAAGATGATCATGTTGACTGATGTTGCTTTGCTTCCTGTCTCTGTGTGTAGACCGCAGCGTGCGTGGTGTCATTGTGATACCACCTGTAGACATTTTCTGGATGAAGTGTGTTCTTTCAACAGATTAATGGTGCTTTGCAGATCTGTAAACAGTCCAGCAACATCCGTATTGTCCCATAACCTTTTGCACACATTGTGTGCCCACTTTGCCATGTTGCAGTACACGTACATACCACCAAGACTCTACAACACATGTTTGTGTCTTGTGTACTTTAGGTATGTCCACACTCACACCAAGCCAATCACATGAGCGGCCAAATTCAGTTAACCTGGACAATGTGTCCTGTGGAAGAGGTACACCTGCTGCCGCCTGTTCCCTGGCACCAGGATCGCCACAGCTAGCGCCCAATATGGACACTGATCCTCTGCGACCAGGGGCTGGCTTTGCCGAGATTCCGTTCCCGAATGGTCAGCGAATGAGCAGCAGCAATGCTTACAGCAATTCCACCCTGCTCGGGCCAAGCATGGCGGTGGGCACCATCGTGTCTCGCCTGAGAAACCTCAGTGGGCATGTGGAGCAGAGTCGGGGTGAACAGGCCACCGGCACTCAGCACCCAAATCAAGGGTGAGTCCTTTGTATTCTCTTGCTCTGCTCCTCACAGTGCTAGTGGACTCTTAGTCTAGTATAGTAATGCCCCCATGTGTGTGTGTGTGTGTGTGTGCGTGCGTGCGTGCGTGCGTGCGTGTGTGTGTGTGTGTGTGTGTGTGTGTGTGTGTATGAGTTTTGGGGATTTCAGGGGGCGCCGGCCGTTGGGCGATTCGATAGCCAATTGAGTCATCTTTCTAAGATTCCTTTTGAGTCTCTCTCCCCTCTCCCGGGGAGACCCACGTGACCAGTTTTGGCAGTGAGCAACAAATACAAGTACAAGTATATGCACTAGTTACCCTAGCAAGTATGGGTGTGCATAGGTAACTGTCTTAGCTGTCCTATTCCGATGTACTCCGTGTGGTGTAGACCAGGTGTGCATGGGGGGGGGGGGGGGGGGGGATTCACATGACTTCGCCAGTTGTGTGGATTAGACAGTAATCTGGCGCTTGTCTTGATCTGTTTCAATCAGAATTATATCCCCTATCGTTGCTATAAAGAGACACTCTGTGTTTGCCCATCCAGTGCATTTGCAGATTTGTGTGCTTAGCTTGCGACGGGCGTATACATGGTACATGGTACATGGGACATGTGCACGTGTGTGTGTGTGTGCACATGTGTGTGCGTATGCGCACGTGTGTGTGTGTTTGTGGGTGTGTGAGTGTGCACACCACGCGTGCATGCGTGCATATGTGCTTGCACAATAACTCTTTTTAAATGTGAATGAAACCGACATGAAGTGTTTGTTCACGGAGAAAGTAGAAGCTTACCTGTACAATGTGTTTTGCCTTTCACCGGATTTAGTTGATCACTGACCTCTTTTCTGTGTTGGATTGCAGAAACTACCGGGAACCTGACATGGCGGCCTTCGTGGATACACCGATTCTCAATCGTCTTCCGCCGCCGAATGACAACGTCTTCCGTTGTCCAAACTGCAGCCAGATTATACCGGAGTTCTCCGACCAGATCTTAGCGCTGGCTGTGGTCGCCCTGGAACCACTGGTGCAACGCTATCCGAAGATGGCCGCGCCAATGCTAATGGAGATGCTGCACTCTGTCAGCAGGTCAGTGCACTGATAGCAGTAAATTTGCCCTGGTTTTGTCTGCATTCCAAACCACCTCAAGTTCATCTTACACGATAGGAAACTTCCTCTGCTCACACAGTACTCAATATAGAAGACAGCCGAAGCCTCGCTCTGGCTTCCATGTCAATTCATCTTACAGTGCTGTACTTCAAGTATGTACAGTCACGTTAGTTGAAATCCGATCCAAAGCGCTAAACTGGTGCCCTGGACCAGTTCCCATTACTTGTACATCACTGCACCTTTACATATGTGCGCCCAGCAGCATTCATCCCATTTCCAGGGCGTCAAGGGCTGCGCAAGTCCAGGACGTCAAAATTGTTAATATGCATCTGGGTCGGATTTCACGTAGCGCAACTGGCGTAGCATGGAAATTAGAATGGGCGGGAGCTATGAGTCTGATCATGCCGTTCTAAGTCATTATGTGAATAAATACAGTGGAGTCTGGAGATTAGTAATTACAGATACCTTACCTTGCGCATATCGACATCAAGAGTACATAACCCCCAGAGTGTGCAACGCCGATCCAGTTCTGCATAGGGTCTTGGTCGAGCGGAATCGGGTCTTTTGATGTCATGCGTACACTCCACACCAGTGCAAGGCCGGTCTCGAGGCAGGGCACCATTGTTTTTGGTGCGAGAGTACCCGCGACTCCCCGGGTTCCCCTCAGATGCATGTGTACGGTATTATGACCCAAAGATCCGATTACGCTCGACCAAGACCCTATGCAGATCTGGATCAGGCGTTGCACACTCTGGGGGGTTATGTACTCTTGCCGACATTATTGAGTTTACTGCTAACTTCTGTTGCCCAAGTCTCGCAGTAAGTCCTTCTCTAAAGATCTAGCTCAGTGACAGATGGAATGTAGCGACTTCCTTTCATCTCCAGAAGGAGTGCTGTATTCAATCTCCAATGTACTAGTACTACCCAACATTATGGAAAACCTTTCTCTGTCAAACCTGTTGAGTGGAATTGATACCTATATGAGCTCTTTATCCTGTCGTGTTATGCTGCTGTGTGTGTTTGTGTGTGCACGTGTCATGTACCTTGGGTCTTTTGCTGCTCACCTAAAGGCTGGCGCTGATGTCCACAGACAGCGGGTGAGTTAGGATTATGTGTAGCAAGTAGTCGGAACAAGTTAGGTCCACTCGTCATTATTGCATGCCAAACTGATTTCGAATTGTGTAGCTATCAAGGGTTGCATAATTATGTTTATACATGTACCGGGGTAATGCAGAGGAGGTTTTGCAGAGAGATCGTTTCCCGGCACATGATACGTTCTAAAAGCAATTATTTTCTGGAGTAGTGTTTTCTGGCTTCACCGTGTGGACTGCATGAGTATTGAGTTACTTACATGCGTTGCGCCAGATGACGGCACTTTTCATGACGGCACGATGTATCAATTTTGCTTTTCCAGGTCAATGGGCACCCTTCTGCCGTCGTCGCAAGCCGTTGCTCGGCAGTTCATCCGGGCAGTCCTGTTCCAGTTTGTCAACAACCAGTTGTTCCTGCAAGTCTTCAAGTCTGATTTGAAACGTAAGCGCCTGTTGTCGGGCTAGGCCATTTCTCCGTCTGATTTTCACTTTCATAAAAGAACACTCGCCAGGTTTACTCATTTCTTTGTACTATGGCCTTGCAAGACCTACTTCAGGCAGTGGCATACAAACAAATAAGGAAGAACGATGCTTTGTGGCAACTCTAGTTTAACACTTCGGCAAGATCATTCCAATACAAAACGGGGAAAATGGGCTCATATTATATATCACGGAGGAAAGTAAGTGATATGTGGTGGTATAAACGACCGGATGGGAGTAATAGTAGTAACATACATTTGTCCTGAGATACTGTGGAAAGAGATGGGGAGTCTGCTTGAACATTTAAGTCTATCTGATCAGCCAAGGTGTGTTGCCTTGATACGAAGAAACGAAAGTGTTGCTGCAGGGGCTATCAAGGAACACTCCCTATGGTCATATCTGATTCATAAGTTTCAGAGTGGTGTTACGAGTTCTTTGTTCATGTCTTTATATAATTATGTGTGTAATACACACATGTCTGTGTGTGTGTGTGTGCGTGTGTGTGTGTGTGGGCGCGCACGCGCGTGCATGTGTTTCTGTCCGTCCGTCCGTGTTTGCATATCAGATTCCACATTGCTGAAAGCTATTGTTGTGTCTCTGCCGGAGCCAAGCCAAGTTCCGTCAACATACAAAGGCCTGACACTCTTATCGCCCATTTCAAATCTGCTCATGGTAAATAGTTATAAATACTATTAAACAGCAGTATATTTGTCAGCCTGGTTTCTTATCTCACAAGTATTACTCCATATACAGTTGGCAAGTGAAATCCGACACTTGCCATAGGGGACAGCGCCACAAATGGGCACCAATGATGTGATGCACTGCACCTAATTTGTACTATAGAGCCGTATGCATCCAAAACAGATCGAAAGGTCACAGCATAGATACACACAGTTCACAAATATGGTACACATAAGGAGTATTGGTATCCAATCCCCATTCATTTTTGCCAGCACCTTTTGAACCTTGACTGTGATGAGTACGAGTTTTGTCATCAGACAGATAAAGTTGTATGTAACACATGTACTGTACGTATGCAGGGCTGCAGACTGCATGGCGCAGTCCCTTATGCCAAGTGTTGGATTTCACTTGCCACAACTGTATGTCGATCTCTGCAATACTTGACGTGACCAATATATGCATGCGCATCTGAGATCACTCAGTTAGCATCTCTGTCTTAACTTGGCTTATCGGTCAATGCTAACCATGTGGGCGCAATCTACCTTATACAGCTTTTGTGGTGCTGCTGCAGAGCCATGCCTTGCTTCGATATTTATGTCTCAACACCTGTACGTGTACATGACGTCATTGTATCCTGTGTATGCCTCGCTGTCTGTTCTGCCAGGATATATCACGGCAAGTGAACGGTTTAGCTATGATGACTATCATCAGCAATCTTGCAGACTACATGCAGTCTTTGCCCAATATCTCGCCGAAGCACTACACCAGCTTACTGCCGCTGTTCACTAGCTTCTTCAGGCGCCTTCCTGCCATCTTTGACTCTGTCAGCATGTTCAAGGTGAGAGAAACAAAGTACTGAGCGCGTTACTGTTGGGCCCACGATCCAAACATCATTCCTTGCATCTATTGCACACAGTTGTTTACTAATGTGGTTGCGTTTTGTTTGTTTTGTGTGTGTTTTAAGTAATTGATGCTTGAAACTGGGGGCTGTGTAGTTGTGATGAGTTCCTGTGTCTATAAAGTGTTTCACTGGAACAATGTTTGCTTCCAGGATTTGGAGCAAAGAATTTCCTGCTCTTTCTTCATCGTGCAGAATATCCCGTTCCATTCATTTTCTTGCTATCTTATTCCAGATGAAGAAGTACTAGTATACTCTATGCTGTCATCCTAAAAACTATGCTGCACCAATGTATACTAATTCTCTGCCGCTGTCCTATTTTGGTGTCTAAAAATGCAGCGAAAATTCATCGTGCCGCTACGCATCATGGCGATGCTGCTACGCAACGTTGATCAGCAGTTCCGGGTTAGTCTCGGCTTGCCATTTGTCTGTACTGAAGCATGTGATCGGCCACAAATTTTGTCTGCCGTGTGTGTCGAAGGCCATTGTGATTGATCTCACCTTGTGACGTCCTGCGCAGCTCACTACTTGTGGTGTGCTGCTCCTGATCTCCCCTTTCATTCGTGCTCAGTGTCCATGTATGTGACTTTCACTTGGCGGCATACGTGCAAGCCACGTTTGCGCTCCTTTCCGACTGGAGTGTTGTTGTATTCTGCGTGTGCTCACAGACGTTACTGCCAGGTTTCAGTAACATGTTGGCGTACCTGTTGCGCCAGCCACATCAGATGATTCCACTCGGCGCGCTGCTTACAGTGTGTTTCAGAGCCTTTCTGAACTTTTCCCACTCTAAGGTTAGTTTCTATGATCTCCACTGCTGCAGCCATTTCTGCACACTGATACTAACAGTGACACTACATGTAGACTCCTTTTAATTCCAGCCTCAAATTTGCTCCGCTCGCTTAAATCAAATATCGAGACAAGGGGGGTGGGGGGGGGGGATCTTATACGTTGTTGTCCATGCTGGAGTGGACCAGAGATCGATTTTTCAGCTACTCTTGGCTGGAGAAGGAGAAAAAATTGAATTGCGGGTACAGTAACTCCATCTCACTTCAAAATAAGCACTCGAAAGACATAGGCACTGTGTTGTAAACTGCCCTTCTGTACGATGACAGAGTTCGCATTATCCACTGGGCGCACTTTTTGGAATTTGACTTGAACTAGCTCAAGTGACTTGCAGAAGACCAGCATGAAACGTTTCGTTCATTATACGGAATATTTGAGTTATACCGTTTTCGAAATACAGGGAGTCTACCTGTATACACTGGTTGCACCATTGAGAAAACTTGCTGTCCACTTGGCATACTAGTTATTGTTCGAGCTAAGCTAAGCTTATCCTCTTTGTGTGTGTGTGTGTGTGTGTGTGTGTGTGTGTGTGTGTGTGTGTGTGTGTGTGTGTGTGTGTGTGTATGTGTGTGTGTGTGTGTGTGTGTGTGTGTGTGTGGTGTGTGGTGTGTGTTCTTTAGGACAAGGAGAGACTGCCTCGCTCTGTAGCGGCAGAGCTTGTTCTTGCCTGGCGGGGGAAAACCCTTCCGCACAGAAGCACTTTTCTCAACCTGATTAAGGTAAGCTCCTTCTTTTCTGTCCCAAGCATTTCATGCAAGCCCCTCCTGTACCATTTACCATGTATAAGCAGGTGAAGCATGGGAAGCACGCAAACCTGCAAATGCACCCACCCCCTTTCTCTCTCTCTCAACTTTGTTCTGCCTGTTGTCTTTGGTCCAGCATAGCAATAGGGCAACTTTGCTGATGTCGAACCTGACTTGACGTTTATTCCTATGTGTTTATGTGCATATTGCGTGTGTAGTTTGTCGCTATTGACAGCGGTGCTAACATCGGTGGGATTATCGGCTTTGATGGAAAGGAGCTGCAGCCAAACAATCTTGTAAGTAATGTAAATAGGCTTATTGCCATACTACTCTCGGTCTGTCGGTGGTCAAATATTCCACGTTGAAATTCGTAATTTGATCCACTGGTATCACTGCATCTCTTTCTTCCTTCTGTGGGGTTTGCACCCCTAGTGTTTGCTTGCCTCTCTTGCAATCAGATCTGCTGTGTTTGCTTTCCTGTAGCCGCGGAATCTACGTGTTCGCCAGCACATTGTGCAATCGCTCGACACAGCTGTCAACTTCCTGCAGTCGACATACGCCTCAACCACCCTGTACCAGGTGAGCAGAGGTTGTGTTGCTCCTAGTAGGGATTTTAGGTGATTTTTACAACTTTAAGGTTCACGGATTGGCATGCTAGCGTCGCCAGCTACATCATGCACGTGACAGGCGCGTGCATATACTGTCCCACACAATCGGTCAGTGCTCAAATCGCATTTTCCCATCAATATCACTCACTTTCAACTCTACGGGATTCATTACGGTTGGCTCAAACTGCCTGAATTTTTGAATCCACACGCACGAAAGACGTTCCAAGACTTCCACCGTTCGTATTTTTTCAAACGAGTTCCGGGTTTTCCAGTAACTTTGGCCAAAGTTCGGCTAAAAAAACAGGGGGAGCCGTTGCGTTTCCGTAAAATACTGAACGGTAGAAGGATAGCCAAGGTCGAGAGCAAAACAACAAGCCATTGTTTGTCAAAATCGAACAAGAAACGGCTCAGCGCATCTATTTTCCGTGCACGCGCGCGCGTACTTTGGCCGACAAGGTGTGGAGAATTTCTGAAGAAGAAGAATAACAAGAGCAGCAGCGCTCGGAACAGCCGTGCTGGATACTTCCAATCCCGACGATGGAGCGTGTTGGCTGTCGTGAGCTGCTGAAACGACCATGACATTTCTTTTTCTTTGTATACCCTACATATCTTGACGTGCCCTAGCTCAGTTTCGGCCTCTTTACAGGAAGAATATTTTCTTCCATGGCATCAGCGGCCAAACAGCAACAGATCGAGATTTGCAGGGCAAACAAAGGATGCGTGCAGCTACATCTAGTCAGGTTCGATGCAGCTGCGCTTTGCCAGAACCTCAGCAGATAAGAAAAGACGACAGAGTGTCTCAGATGGAACTGGATCTTTCGCCAAGACCGCCACCGCCGCCATCATCAAGTCCAGGTCAGTCAGAAAAATGAAAGCCCGAGTGAAGTGAAGCCACTGAAGCCAAGGAAAAATTCAAAAAGTACGCTCTCCGGCTAGACTTCGAGTCGATATTTTTTTACTTCGATAGGCGCTGTCGCGGCCTGTAGCGCGCGTCCATAATCCAAAATGGAGGCGCACGTGACGGGTGCTTTTAGTGGCAAGCCGTGAACCCTAAACTTGGGTTTTCACAGAATTTTGTTGTGCAATGTGAAAGACCAGGGTGAGAGGAAGCTATACAGAAAATTTGAAGCAATTCGGAGCAGTAAAACTGAAGGTATAGGTCAAGGAATACCCACAACCAACCTGTACAATAGTTGTGTACAGACCATACATGGGCAATGGCACAATCCGGAAATCCAGAAGTCCATAGCAACACCCTAGCAACGGCCAAACACAGCCAATTAACACCAAACTTGGTGGAAAGAGAGCTTAGATAGATAGATAGAGGCCACTGATTCCAAAAAAGTAATTTCCGTTGCAGATTTTAAATTTCCCGCCAAAAATAACAAACAATGGTGTCCATGGCAACCGCCATAGCAACGGTGCTTATCAGTGCAAAATCAGCCCAAATAACCAACAACATAATGAACAATAGAGCTTCCTTTATGTAAAAACTGAGAAGAGGTAATAAAGAAAGGAAAGAAGCACAATAGACATGAATAGAAACAAAAACATTATTCCCGTAGCTATGCAGAAGACGTTACTTCAGTAACGTCTGGCGCTAGCCAGGGTCCACACAGCTTTAATTTGGTATTTGTTTGTTTGTGTGTTTATGTCACGCCTGGCGCTATCCGTATCTGACGGCAAAAAAGCATAGGATGTTATAAATTTTTCAATTCTCCTATTTTTTCAGGCATATCCTGGGATTCGAACCCGCACTATCGCCCTACATGCATTCCCCCATACACTTTGCATTCATACTCATTCTTCCAAGTTGCTTCACGTTATTATCTTGCGTTTGAAAGCCCTATTTGAATATTGCGGGCAGCTAGACGGTGTCGTATTACCCTCGATCGTACCTGTCCCGTACCTATCCCCTACCGTACCGTGCCATCAAAGACGGCTGGCCACAATGCATATTCAAATAGGGCTTTCAAATGCAAGATCACAATGTGAAACAACTTGGAAGAATTAGTATGTATGCGAAGTGTATCGGGGGATGCATGCAGGGCGCGCGATAGTGCAGGTTCGAATCCCAGGTTATGTCTTAAAAAAAAGGATTTTTTAAAGAATTTATAACATCCCTATGCTTTTTTTTGTCTAGGTCATCAAGGCCAAAAAAGCATAGCGTAGGGCCCTGAGCTTCCAAGCTCTCTCGTTTAACGGACCCGCCCAAGATCAATTAGCTAGCACGCTACGCTTGGTCAGGGGTTCGGCATCAGGTGTCGCTGCTAGAATGTAGCGGCCGCTTTGCCAGGGGTTCGGCAGCAGCACTGATGTCTGAAGCAGGGAGTAGTACAATACATATTGGTATTGTACTACTCCCTGGTCTGAAGCAGCATTATCATCACTCGCTCTGGTGTCATCCGATTCAGAGCGAAGCAGTGTAGCAAGGTTTGAGACCAAGCACTCGATGGAGTGTACCTTGCCAGCTTTCGACAGTGCATATACATCTGATCTTCGCACCAGCACCCTTCACATTCACAGTCTCCTGCTCCACACCATCCACTGCAGCCACCACCTTAATGATGGAATCCAAGCTTAGATTCTGGCTTCGCTTGTAGTCCATGAGTTCAAACACTATGCCATTTGACAATTTATCACGTCGACAGAGAGCTGAGAGATTACGATTGTCAGCGAGGGCATCATCCAGCGCTTTTCGGTTGATTCCAAGCTCCTTGCAGTGGGGGCCAACAAATTCTTCCATGACTACACTGGTCAGTACTGGGAAAATAAATTCCGCTAAGAACCGCCGTCCTGCGGAGGGACAGGAACAGTCATTCTTTGTAAAATCGAGGTCGTAGATTACGATTTTCGATGCTGCTAGAGCGAGGACTTACCAGAAACGGCGGAAAACAGCACCTGAATATTTCACGACGACGACAAACAGCTGAAAATCCTCCGCACTACATCGTGAGACACACCAAACGAAAGCTCGAAACCTCAGCTGACAGATAAAAGCCTTCTTCCTCGCTGAAAATGTAGAAATTCAAACAAAAGCAAGAAAGAAGTCCGTGCACTTCACTGTGCCATGACGTAGATCCTTTTTGAACGCGTCACCATCCAGGCCGAAACGGCCGCTTTTGTCACGTGACTGATATCCCTACTCCTAGTGTTGTGTGGCTCGGCTTTGGAGAGCTTGTCGTGTGCATGACTGCTCACACTTCTGCATACCCGGAGCTTTTGAAATCATACAGTAAAACCTTTCAAGGCAGCTACTCTTACGAGTTCAGACCTGTCCTGAAGGAGCGCTAGCACCAAGACCAATTGGGTGTCTTTTCCAGACAGGTGACCCTTCATAAGGGGCAATGATTGCTTGCAAGTAGAGACCACGCAGGGGCGTCGGACACGCTCCGGTCACACGATGGTACGGCATTGACCGCACCACTCTTTGTCCCAGGTACCCTGTGAATCAATAAAAGGCACTGGTTTAGACTCTAAATTTCGGGGAAAAATTCAGAGGAGCCAGGAGTACTGTACTTCAGGTGGCTGACCGTACCACCCGAAAATACCTTCCGACGCCCCTGTCTCGTTTCGGAGGTCCCTTGAGCGCTTGGCTGAGGTGGGTTTCAGTGCATTTGTTTGTCATGGAGGGTGGCAGACTGCCTAACGCACTGGTCTTTTCTGCAATACTGCTCTCATGGTATACACCGCTCGATCTACAATTGTTGCCATTTGTGCTATTTTGTGATGCTTCATCTTGCCAGGATTTGGAAACGTCTGCCAAGATCAAGGTTGCCACGGCCCAGCTTGTGGGGCTAGAAGTTACCGGATATCAGAACCGAGCGCAGATGGAGCGCTTGCTGCCCTGGCTCCACAGTCCCAGTGGTTCTTTGTAAGTTGCAGCAGTGTGCACACATTGCTGCTATGCCATGACTCATCTGAACAAGATAATATACATGTACAGCCATGTTCAATGCTTCCTGCCATCAACTAACTCATGAGGCTGAGTTTCACCGACCAGCATTGTACATGGACTGGAAACTGCATGTATGTCCTTGGAGTGTGTGGCCGTCAGTCTACCGACGATCAATACTGTATTTCCCCAAATATAAGTCGCACCTTTTTACACTAAACTTCAGGGCCAGCAAAGGGGGGTGCGACTTACAATCGAGCATGATCTACTACTGAAGTGAATGCATTGAAACAATATGACATACCGTAAAGTCGCGGATAAAAGCCGGGTTTGCATACAAGCACATCGCGGATAGAAGCCTGAAAGTCAAACGGGTCAAATGCATATAAGCCTGTCGCGTGTAGAAGCCTGGCTTCTATGCAAGCGCGGATCGGGTAGGTCAAGAGTGCATGTGCTATGTACGGTGCATAGTAAAACTGCCACCATACCGGTAGTCAGTGGTAGATCTACGCGTGTCGCGCGTAGAAGCCTGGCTTCTATGCAAGTGTGGTGCATATAAGCATGGTTTGCATACAAGCCTGGTTTGCATTAAAGCCTGATGCAGAAAGCGGCTTATGTGCATATAAGCCTTAAGGCTTTTATCCGCGACTTCACGGTAGACCTGAAAATAGGGGTGCAACTTACAATCAGGGAATACGGTAGTTCAACACCATGTACATGTCGAGTTCTACTCTTCTTACTTGTACCGTAAAGTGCCGCGAGAGCACCCGGCCAACTCGTCCTTCCGTTGTCATGCTGTGGAGGTGGTACATTGTCTGTAGGTCGTACGGCACCAACCTTGTACACACATTACACGCTGTGCAGTCAATCCATATTCAATTTTACTCTGAGCTCCACACAAGAACAAGCTAAGTGTCACATTAGTACACTCAGGTTCTCACACCGTACAAACGTTTGTGCACTTTGCCATACGATTTTCCTTTCCCTGGCTGTAAAATGAAGGTGGGGCGCTCTCGCTGTACTTTGCAGTACAAGTAGTTTGACCTCGGATACACTGTGCGTTGGCTGAAAAAAGTAACGATTGTATATTCCTTTTATGATGCTCAAGCTCCGTATCTGTTTATTGACCGTTCTACTGTTGTTTGTTTTGCCTTTCCTCTGTAGTGGTCAGTTGACCGAACTGCAGGTCATTCAGAGGTTCCGCTTGTTCTCCTGGCTCTTTGTGGCAGCCATGGCCTCGGACAACAGCGACGATAACAGCCTGTGTCAGCCGTTCCTCGACGATTGGACCAACGTATCCGTGTGCCTGGCCACCTTGTGCACCGAGTTCCTACGCTCCTTTCAGGAAAAGTTACTTGTAGGAAAGGTGGGTGATCGGATTGAAAGCTTGAATCAAGGGCAATTGATGTATCTGGCAATGGCAGCTGCGCTTCATACTGCGTTTGCTCTGTCTTCACCGCTGTTTCAGAGGGGGAGACTTCAGTTTGTTGACTAGGAGTACCTATCTCCCAATTTGGCCGGGAGGGTGATAATAGGTACCCGGAAGTGTAATTGTCGCATGCCTCACAGCTACTTTTGTAAACATTTTCATTCCTAGGTATGTCATTGTCCCGATCTCAGGTGTGAACATGTTGGCAGGTGTGGGAGTATGGCAGCTCGGCCTGTAATAATGTTGTGTTTCCTTTTGTCTGTGCAGGATCGGCGCGTACAGATTCTGCCTATGATGTTCATGACGTGTATGGTAGGTGTCAGAATGCACGACAGGCTGTTGAATTCATTGTGTTTCTCGAGTAATCATGGCAAACTGGATGTTTTCAAATTTCAATACAGTGGAGCATCGACTCTCTGAACCCTCCGGGGCAGATGCTGTCCAGAAGGGGCTTGAATACTAAGAGAGTCACAGATACACGTGCAGTATAGGGCACATGCATACGAGTACATGTGATGCAGTTTCGTCATTGAAAAACCAGCTTGTATTAAATGTACAGTCATGTATTTCGAAGTCACTCGCAGGGGTCAGTGGCATGAATATCAAGTATGTGCACTAGTATCGTGCAGCACAATGCAACTGCCTGCTAGGTGTGTGCATCGTAATATGATGACTCTCCTCTCTCCTTACAGGTAGGACATGCTGTCAGTGTGCAGCTATAATGTTATAGTTGTTATAATAGTGTACCACTCTTCTGCTCCTGCCCAGCTCTGGACTATCTACCTTGAACAGCAGTGCATCGCAGATCAGGCTGTGAATGACTTCTGGTCGCAGGTCATGGGCGAAGTTATTCAGCTGCTCAACTTCAAGTCCAGGGCATATGAGTCGGTGAGTATAATAGAGAGGTTAAGATGCCCGTTATTTTTTATATAGCTGCATCTTGACATACATATCGTAATGGAATCCATATAATTATGATCACGTAGTGCAAACCTCCAACTATAAACCATCTGCAACTATAAAAGACCGCTTTTTATACCGGGGGGGGGGGGGGGGGGTCGTTAGTTACATGTTTTACTGTATTTGCTTGTCTCTTCAGAGAGAACAGCATGGTCCATGTGTAAATGTTACTCAAAACAACATGTACAATGTACTGTTGGCTTGTTCAACCACAGGTGATCACAACACCGTTCTTGGAAATGATCGAAGGCTTTGCAAGCGCCGAGTCCTCGTCGCTACGAAAGGTAATGCTTTACAGCCATGTGTATGCCTAGTTGGTTCAGGCCGAGGTGTTCTGTCTTCTAGAAATCAGTGCTCGCTGGGGATAGTGCTCGTCTTGAGATGCACTTTACCCTCACAAACCAACAAAACTCATGTGTGGGCAATTATGCCTTTTTTGCTGGCAGCTTGTTGGTATAGTACATGTGCAAGAGGTGTGTACGTGTATGTGCAGTAAAACCTGTCAAGGCGACCACCTGTCAAAGAACACGGGACCAAGGGATGCTATTTCCAGTCAAATCGCCCTTGTTACGGAGACCATGTTTTGAAGGTCCCTTGAGCGGTCGTCTTAGACAGGTTTCACTGTACATGTATGGCTGTGTTTAAAAGCCGGTCCAGCATTTCTACCATTCAGTGCCAATACTACAGTGCCGGCAACTGAAATCCGACCCCTGAGCGGTCGGTTCACATTCTAGCTGTCTCTATTTCCTAGTGTTACAATCCTGTGTTGGGTCTTTGCGATGTGAGCACACCGCTCAGGGGTCGGATTTCAGTTGCCAGCACTGTAGTATGTCAAGGCTTGCACAGGTTTTACTTGCCAGACACCAGGCTCTTCACAAGGTGCTTTGAACCGCATCAGTCATGTGAGATTTTATTTCTTTTCACTGTTTTTGTTGGTGTCTGGCCTCCCGTTTCCATCGAGGCGAGTCTGGTCTGAGAATGTTTTCTTTTGCTGTGCATTGTGTAGATCTGGCCAATCTGGTTGCCCCTGCTGCGTTGCTCCAGTACTAAGGTGAGGCATGCAGCATAGATACACTACTCGACAATTCTACTAATGATTGGTATTATTTTTGCTGTGTTAAATGACCATACCTACGGCAAGAGAAACGATTCACAAAGGACATGTAGTACAACGTTCTAGACTGCGAGACTCCTCTCCCAACATCCCCTTGATTATTTATCTTGAATGGACCTCTGGTTCACCTCTCCTCTTTCTCCCATATCCGTCCGTACAGTCAAAAATCGATGACTATCCTTCGAAGACTTTGACAAGTTGTCACTTGCTTATTTTTATCCGATTTGCGCCATTGTGGTCTCAAAAGAAGCAGGAAAGATACAAAGAAAACCGGAGCACCGTATCATGCTCCAAAGAGAGGTTATAAGTCTCCAAAGCAGGGCACATCTGTTTGTGTGCGGACATTTAGCAATATGGCGTCGATCTGTCATGCAGTCCACGCGTGCACGCGCACGTACACATATAAGTCATATGATCAAAAATTGAGTACGGTGCTCAGCGCGTTCTCATGACAGCTACGGGAAATGAGTACAATTGATGACGCCTCGGCGGATCTTTGCACGCGGCATTTGAGTTTGAACAAGAAACTGGAAAAGCAGAGAAGTTTTGTGAGTGCTTTTAGACGAAGAATTAAACTTTCTTTACCTTGTTGTCGGCCGTTGACATCCTCCCGCAATCACCTGTCTCGGTAAGCAAGCTGGTGGGAAGCTTTCTGTTGCGCCGACCACCAACTCGCCCACCAACCAGCCCGCGCAAATTGCGCTCCAACACAGTCAAGTGCAAACAATTCTGAGAGAAATTACTGGAGTGAATTCAGTACTAGTACAATTGCAAATTGGAAACTTGTAACATAAAGATTAAAATGGCCTTGCGAGGAAGTTTTGCTGTTCTAAACTGTAGTGCTACTGCTGGCAGAAGATTTCTTCCTGCGTGGAGCAGGCGATGGCACTAGTTGACGGTAGGATGCAATGGTGGAGATCAAGTGCTGCTTTACAATCATCCTCAGTTGTCCCACTGTCGTGGTGATGCTGGCAAAGCGCCGCTCCAACTCCTTGAAGCGATGCTGTATTCCTTCACCGCCTGTTCTCCCAAGAGACCCAAGCACATGCCTAACCGCCTCATGCAAGGAACAAGGTGGTGTTCAAGAAGGTGTAACTTTGGGGTGATGTTGCGCTTCTGCCGCGTGATGATTTCCCGTCTCACTGCTACCAAGAAAACCTTCACTTCTCCTTCAAGAGAGGCGAGTTCACATTTTCAAGCTTGTTGCATGAAGAGAAGATCTTCCGTACCCTGGCATAGGTGGTGAGCAGCATGACGTACCGTGTAGAAAAGGTATTTGCATCCGCCTGCAAGCGTGCAACATGCTGTTGCTGCAGATGTCCGTCCGCATGGAGCTTCTGGATAGCTGCTGAGGGTGCATTGGACAGCTCTGCGATGACCTTGTCCTGCAGAGCCATGTGAATGCGGTTGCCCACGAATGCACCACTATGGTATGCCTGTCAGTGAATGTGGTGGCGTTGCAGCACAGGCTCGAACGACTGTACGCACGGGCCGGTTGCCGGAACTGATTTGTCAAGCTCTGTTTTCATGCGCTCCATCTCTGCTTCTAATTTCTGTGCTGATTGTTGTAAATTGCGCCACTCGGTTTGAATTGTTTGTGCTACGTGTTCAATGTGTTGTTGTTGCATGTTCAGGTTGTGTTGTGTTGTTGCATGTTCAGGTTGTGTTGTGTTGTTGCATGTTCAGGTTGTGTTGTGTTGTTGCATGTTCAGGTTGTGTTGTGTTGTTGCATGTTCAGGTTGTGTTGTGTTGTTGCATGTTCAGGTTGTGTTGTGTTGTTGCATGTTCAGGTTGTGTTGTGTTGTTGCATGTTCAGGTTGTGTTGTGTTGTTGCATGTTCAGGTTGTGTTGTGTTGTTGCATGTTCAGGTTGTGTTGTGTTGTTGCATGTTCAGGTTGTGTTGTTGCATGTTCAGGTTGTGTTGTGTTGTTGCATGTTCAGGTTGTGTTGTGTTGTTGCATGTTCAGGTTGTGTTGTGTTGTTGCATGTTCAGGTTGTGTTGTGTTGTTGCATGTTCAGGTTGTGTTGTGTTGTTGCATGTTCAGGTTGTGTTGTGTTGTTGCATGTTCAGGTTGTGTTGTGTTGTTGCATGTTCAGGTTGTGTTGTGTTGTTGCATGTTCAGGTTGTGTTGTGTTGTTGCATGTTCAGGTTGTGTTGTGTTGTTGCATGTTCAGGTTGTGTTGTGTTGTTGCATGTTCAGGTTGTGTTGTTGCATGTTCAGGTTGTGTTGTGTTGTTGCATGTTCAGGTTGTGTTGTGTTGTTGCATGTTCAGGTTGTGTTGTGTTGTTGCATGTTCAGGTTGTGTTGTGTTGTTGCATGTTCAGGTTGTGTTGTGTTGTTGCATGTTCAGGTTGTGTTGTGTTGTTGCATGTTCAGGTTGTGTTGTGTTGTTGCATGTTCAGGTTGTGTTGTGTTGTTGCATGTTCAGGTTGTGTTGTGTTGTTGCATGTTCAGGTTGTGTTGTGTTGTTGCATGTTCAGGTTGTGTTGTGTTGTTGCATGTTCAGGTTGTGTTGTGTTGTTGCATGTTCAGGTTGTGTTGTGTTGTTGCATGTTCAGGTTGTGTTGTGTTGTTGCATGTTCAGGTTGTGTTGTGTTGTTGCATGTTCAGGTTGTGTTGTGTTGTTGCATGTTCAGGTTGTGTTGTGTTGTTGCATGTTCAGGTTGTGTTGTGTTGTTGCATGTTCAGGTTGTGTTGTGTTGTTGCATGTTCAGGTTGTGTTGTGTTGTTGCAGAAGCCATTGTAGTAGTTGAAATTGCTTCTGATGCATTTGCGTGTTGAGAGTTTGTAGTTGGTCTCTGTCATGTTGGATTTGTTGTTGTTGACGGACGGCTTTACTAAACTCCGCACTGGCAGATTCAGAGACTGAGAGACTGATCTATGCCAAGGTGGTGTCAATATCCTTAGCATCTCTGATCATGCTCTCGAAGAGCCATGGGAAAATGCCAAGGTCGAGGTGTAGCACAGGAACACAGACATATTGTGGCTCGATGCAAAAGAGGGATGGGCGGATGCAATTGTAGAAGTGCTTTGCCTTTGCTAAAACATGCCCCGCAGCCGAAAAGGATTTGTAGCATTCGTTCATGCTATGCAAGCTGCGTTCAGCAAAGGGAGCGTGTGGTAGTTGCATGTCGGCTTTGCTTGCGCGGCAATAAATGCAAGAGTGCTCCCCAGCCGGACCAGAAAGGCCATAAGACAACGAAAGGAATTCGTAATCCCCGAAAAGAATAAGCCTGATCTTCTTATCCTTCCACACAGTAGCCCCAAGCTCCTGAAACTGATTCTCGAAAAGGTTGAAGGTGGTCTCAAGGTTGGAAGGCAGGTCTTTACATGTAAAGACAAGAAAAGGGATGGTGTTGTGAAGAGAATTGGGATGATCAAGGTTAGCAATCTGGAACATCATCTTAAAAGGATTTACCGCCATGATCTCCGCCAACTTTCACCCAGACTTCATCGTCGGGAATCGCCCCGTCACGCCAAGTGAGCTGACCCACACTCTCGTACATGTCAAGGTAGTGAAGGACTACCTTGACTAAGGAATCGAACCTCACCACAGGAGACCTAGCTTGAAGAGGAAGCTCCTCTGCAAGAATAACAAAAGGGAGGTCTTCATCAAGCCTCTTTCTCATGCTGCCCTCCGACTATCGGAACTCAAAACAGCTTCAGCCACCTCTGAAGTTTGTGAAGTCCTGCCCAGGGAAGATTAAGATCTGCCTTGATTGCAAGACCTACACCAGACTCTGTCGAAGATGGTGGAAAGACACCCGCAGACTTGAGGAGACTATCCCTCTCAGCCGATGGAAGGGTGCGCGTTTCGTGAACCTGCTGTGCAAAGCTACCCTCTTTACCACCACATACGGTCTCACGCGCTCTCTCGAGCTCGGCTCTTCTTCTCCTCAAGGTGCGTTCTGAAACAGAAGCAGAAGAAACCCTTGCTGAAGTTTGCCTTACCCAAGTGATAGGCTGCCCACCCGTACCCTGCGCAAATGTCCCATCCTTCTGCTTGTGTGCGACAAGCTTACTAAGAAGATTATCGGACACCTTGCCTTGTAGTTTTGACGGCGATGCATACAGGACATCTTGTACGCTGGACGATGGTGTTACAACAGCGTGATGACCTGCAGAGGAACTGGGCCGTGACGGGCAACTCTGGCAATGCAAAGCCAAATCCTGCAGTCTGACAAACTGCTGGCAACCAGCCAGTGGAGTGTCGCTGGCAAAATCACACCGCAGTTGTACATCACGCAACACTGCCTGCACAAGCGGATGCACATGTGCGTATTGCGAAAGGGTTGTGCTGGCTTCACATTGTGGACAGCAGCAGTTGTGTTGCAACCACTCCTACAGGGGCGGATCCAGGAGGGGTTCCAGGGGTTCTGCAGAACCCCCTAAATTTCGTAAATGTACTCCATATGCTTGTCCATGTACATGTATCAGCTATTCAGTGTTGGCTCTACTGGAACCCCCCTGTAGAGATCGCTGGATCCGCCGCTGGGTCCTAGATGCACTCGGCACAGACAAGCTTTGTGCAGCAAGAGGATTCTGCACACTGGTCTGCAACAAAGAGATATACACTAACATTAACTACAAGTACAGGGAAACTGGCACTCACGGACACCAGCAGCAAGAAATGGTGTCTTCTCTGACAATTACGACGTACTCACAACAGCAGTAGAAAGCCTCCACCACGACGACGAAAGGAAAGAGCCAGCAACAAAACTTCCTCAAGGGACTTGACATGCAAGGCAACGGGAAGGAGAAAAAACACCCTGTAAAGTAAACCCTGTGGTTTCGCTGGGATTCAGCTGTTTTACCTCAGTTGATCCCACCAAATCCTTAAAAAAGCGACGTCGTCATCTTCAAAAAAAAATAAAAAAATTCAAATTTCTGCGGTTGTCCCGTACAAAACCAAAAGTCCGGATTATGTGCAGTACAAACAGCCGTGAGGGGCTATTTTCACACCGTGTACGAAAAATGGTTTTGCATAGTGAACTATTTTCAAATTATCATGTTGCCCTCCTAAAACTATGCCAGGAGGCTTCATTGATTGTAGATTCAAGATCTGATAGCATAAAGGTACCAATTTGAGACCACAAACAGTATATGCATTCATAAGCCATACTTCTCTTCGAAAATTGGAGCTATAGATGGATTTTGTTCCTCTTACAAAATAAAGGCTAGAAAAGGTCGCTAAGCTAGAGAACTCCTCATGGCTCAAGCTTTCCAAAAAGCCCAAGAGTACCAATTTCACCCTCGGGAAGCCAAAGTTATCGAAATGGCACACAGTGTGTCTCTGGGACTGAGAATGTGTCCACTTGGTCGGACGGATAAGGTTTAAGGCCGGGGCATCATGGTTGCATTGCACTGTGGATACGTGTAGATTTCTGTGCTATCGTTGCTCCGCTCAGACTCTATGCTCGCCTGCTGTGTGGTGTGTTGCATTCTCCTTGCGCAGTTCATCCAGCCACAGCACCTGGTCACGATCAACAAGCTACGTGCGCCCATGCCCGACTCGCGCATTTCCGTGCCTCGCCGGCAGGTGCTCCTGCGCTGGCTACAAGGCGTCCAGGTCAAACTCACCGGTCACGAGCAGGCTTGGGAGAAGAACCTTTTCAATCAGCTGCGCTCACGAACAACAGCAGCGGCGGCAGCAAGACGTTGATGGGTACCACCTGAAGACTGTACTGATATTATCGTCAGCGCACATTTACACACTGCTTGCATGTATTAGTTCAATAGATAGCTCCTCCGTTGTGTAGCCTGTGGCCATTTCGCTCAGCGCACTGTAGGTTTTAGATGCTCCATTTTACGAAAACAAAAAAAATGCATACTTGACTAGTGAAATGGAGAATTTTTTATACTTCCTGTTCCGGTTGCTGGCGGCTGGAATGAGTGGAGTCGGTCCTTTTCGTTGACTTCCCTAGCACAACTAATTAATATTCAGCTCTTTTGCTGGAGTCTTTGCCACCGATGCTCATCACTAATAGCATGATGATGGTCTGTGGCAGGCTGCGTATCCTACTACAATGTATCTGCTGCCGAATGGACATATAACAGCTGCTTCAAGGCAACCACCACACCCCGTTCTATGCGCTAGTATTTTATTTGCCAGCACGCGTGCATGCATGCATTCATCCATATAATTATGTACCATCTTACCACCACTACCGCCAGTGCACTGCCATGCTATTGCAGTTAAGTTTAAATCCACATTTTCTCTGTGCAGATCATGGCAAAGTGCTGGTACATTTCTGCCTTTATTTATTCCAGTAACATGGTATACATGCCTGCTGATTCATTTCCGTTTGCTTTTACTTCTGCTCCGTTGTCTTTTGCTGTTTTGCTTCCGTCCGCTCGTCCATCTGTTTGGAGTGTTCATTTTCTCGTTGGTTTGTCCGTTTCTTCATCATTCGAATGTAAGCTCTTCTTTTATCCACAGTAAGTGAATCTTGTCTGAGGCATGATGTACGGAGTCAGCATACAGGTGCTGTGTCGATCCAATCCTGCTGCACTACTGTGCGGCTGGCAGGCCTTCCACCTCGTAGATCGACCCACCGATTTCCAACGCCCGGTGTTGAATCTTGTCCGAGTGGGGTGTTATGGCATATCCGTCCTCTGGCGTACTAGAGACGTTATTTTGACGTGACCTGAAAGTTCTGCTCGCATTAATATTATTTGGCTCGCGCGTTGGAAAATAACGCGGGAGAACTGCATTGCTGGCATGGCTCTGACCTCTGCGGGGAGGGGGGGGGGGGGGGGGGCAATGCAGTAGAAAGCCATATTGGTAGCCAGACTCACTGGAGCAGGCGGGCTGTGAGGAGGCGATGCACAGTCTCTGGCGTAATAGAGACGTTATTTTGACGTGACCTGAAAGTTCTGCTCGCGCGTTGGATAATAACGCGGGAGAACCGCATTGCTGGCATGGCTCTGACCTCTGCGGGGGGACCCAATTCAATGCAGTAGAAAGCCAGCCATCTTGGTAGCCAGACTCACTGAAGCAGTAGGCACCGGCGGATTATGCCGGCATAATTATTGGCATAATTTGGTGGTTGAAAATTTGGAGCAAAATTTGGCATCCTTTCGGAGGTAGGAGCATAACTGCATGATTGTATCACAGTTCTAGTATGTAGGCTACACAATTGTGTACAATGCACCTGATCAGTGCTGGTCGTCTGCATGGCAAAGGGTTCGGAGGTCATGCAGATAGTGTTTTCAATGAAAAGCAGGGTAGAAATCATGGAAATACATCATCAGTTTGTGTGCTCAAACTCGTCTTCTCAAAGTTCTTTTTCACCCTGATACAATACATGTAGCGGAAGATGCGAGTGAATCAGCCTTTATCAGGTATCCCGGGGCGGACGAGATAGTGATGGGTAGTCCGCAAAACTCCGCGTACATGTACACTATGCTTGTTACGAAGTCATGACGTCTGGATCTTAGCAGCTATGACTGTGCAGGCTATGGGTATTGCTCTAATAATTCAACAAATTGAGGTATAGTTGATGTTCGGTAATGATGGAAGGAGAGCTGGAGCTACGGGAGAGATGAGCTGATTATTAGAATTCGCAGGGTTAGGGTGTCATCGGTTGGACGAGTATGACGATTAAGTTGAACATGACAGTTTTCAAAGGTAAGGAAAAACTCTTTCAAAGCAAAAGAAGTCAACTAATGAATAGAAGAAGTAATGTTTTCTCTTTTTCAGGTTGATCTCTAGTATGCATGAACACCTTGGCATGGGGATACTCATGTATTTTGTTGTACTTATGGCCACTTGCAAGTACGAAAAAGGCACAATTTTCCGAACTTTGAGGCTCCATAAGCACAACAAAGTGAATATGTATCCCCGCGTGCCAGAGAATAATATGAGGATTTTGCGAGCATAATGCGAGAATCCATGAAAGCATAATTCCATGATTTCGCGGGCATAATCCGCCGGTGCCTATGAAGCAGGCGGACTGTGAGGAGGCGATGTACAGTCGTAAAGACGCCTTAGAAACCCACAGTCCCCTGCAGCACCTGTAATTGCATGCTTCAGCTGGAAAAGAGCTGTCCGGTCTACTTTCCGGTCATCAGGACGCCTTGGGTCATATCTTGAGGACCCTTCCCACTCCCACCGCTTCTTTTACCGAGCTCCTGGATAGGCTATTGCTATTGCGATGCCAGTCAACGGCCTTGGCTCCACCTTTTGGGAGGCTGGCTTGCACCACTTGCAAATACTGTCTGTTACGGAGGGACCAGGCAAACTTCGCATCTCCAGCACAAACAGCAAAGCCGCGATATGAGAGCAGCACTCTCCCAAACCGGAAAGTCACTGGCAGTACGCCCTAAGGTGGTGTTCATCAAATAATTGGTACGCACAAAGTTGCCAGTAGCACTGCAAGCTCTCCTTGTCATAATCTTTGTCCGGGGAATTTACCAGAATCTAGTGTTTGACAGCGGCCTCAGTAGTGAAGAAAGGGATTTTAGTTAGGTGAGACACAAAACAGCCAGAGGTACATGTGAATAGCTTGGTAGCTTCTTACATTCATAGGTTGAGTTGATGAGGGAATGGAATAGCTTCTTGTACGCTGCCATTACTTGCTCTGGTAGTGCAGGCTTGTCGGCCTCCTCGCCTGGAACACCTTCGCCAGCAGTACTCAAGTGGAAGTGATCACACTGAGATGAAATGATAAAGATCACACGTCAGGATACACGCCCGCTTGAAGTTGGTAGGGAATCCAGAAGTCTTTGCAAAGTTGGCACAGCCCCCCCCCCCCCCCCTTGCATGCATAAGCGCATGATGTGATCCGCACACGACTCAAGAGGTGGGAGAGCGCAGGACAGAGACGGCCAGAACTGAACGTTTAGCGCCTTCAGTAGCAACATTGGTTGCTGTTTGCACTGGCAACGCTGGTACCAGCATTTTGGCGAGTGGTTGTGGGCTTGCCTGCAAATCACAAGGTCCCCAGTTCAAGACCTACACAAGAGAGCAGCTCAGGGAGCCTAGCGTGTACCATGGTGTACTGTGTTAAAGGAGAAGTATACCCTAAAATCAAATTTTCACCAGTTGTAGTCTTCGGGGTGCTGAATCCAATGGTCTTGGTCCGAGGAAGCTGAGATACTTCCTTCCTCCTTTATTCCCAAACGAACTCACGCAGTTCCAGCGAAACTGGGTGACTGCGCCCTACTAGATGGGGATTTGTGTGCAAAAAGTCACTACAATAAAAGCGCCGTTTTTTCCGTTCTTATAAAAGCACGCATGACCGCGATTGGTCCATAATGTTGTAGTCTTTTGGACGCTGAGTCGACTGATTTTGGTCCGAAAAGGCTGCGATGCAGCGTTCGGCCATTATTCCCAACCGAACACGGGTGAGTAAGCGGTCACGTGCTCAGGCGTACACCAGTCGCCTGGTCACCGCGCCAGCAGGCGACAATTTTCACACCAAGGTTCAACTCAACGGTTCAAAGGTTCAACTCGAGTGACAGGAACGCTGGAAAAGTTGTAGCCTGCAGGCACGGTCACGGACCAGGTGACTGGTGTACGCATGAGCATGTGACCGCTTACTCACCCGTGTTCGGTTGGGAATACGGGCCGAACACTGCATCGCAGCCTTTTCGGACCAAAACCAGTCGACTCATGCTCAGCGTCCAAAAGACTACAACATATGAACCAATCGCGGTCATCCGTGCTTTTATAAGAACGGAACGGCGCTTTTCGTGACTTTTGCATCCAAAACCCCATTTAGTAGGGCACAGTCACCCAGTTTCGGTGGAAGTGCGCGAGTTCGATTGGGCATAAAGGAGGAAGGGAGCGTCTCAGCTTCCTCGGACCAAGACCACTCGACTCAGCACTCGCAAAATAATAGTTACCATGTAATTGTTACTGGGTACTCGGAGTGAGGGTAACATAGATCAGGCCCGGCGGAAGCAATTGTTGGTTGGTCCGGCCAAGTTTTTTTGCCAACACAGCACTTGCACATGTGTGACACAACACAACGTCTCTTTGCTTTGATCGTAGGTCAACCAAGACCATGTCTTGAAATAATTATGACGCCTGACAAGAGCGCTTCACCACTGTCTTTTTCCCAAATTCCCGCCGAGGAAAAGCGAAGGAAGTGGTTGGGTGGACTGGCACTTCTGGCACAGATATTTCGCTGGAAGAAGCCATAGCTGCTAAGCATGCACTGCAGCTAAGCTGACCAAACAGCGAGAAAATTTTTGAAAAACTACTTCGTTCAGTAAAAGAATCTGAAGCACTCGACGAAAACCCCTCAAGACTACAAAATTAATTACAATGTAGTATCCATCATTATCATGGCACGTGCTTTCAGGTCGCGCCACAGCTACAGGCGCCTAGGCGCCGCCCACACACAGGCGCTAGGCCACATGGCCACAGCTAGCCCTCAAGCGTGCACGGTAAGATCAGAGCGAGATCGCAAGTACGCGTACATGCAATCGATGATCACAACAGTCAATAACGTTACTGCGTCGTAAAAAAAATCGTCGGTGGCCGAAAAGTTGGTCCGGCCATGGCCGGACCGACCGGAGCGGCTCCGCCGGCCCTGTAGATTATGCAGCGAGCTAACTCATTCATTGGTTTGCCCTATCGTGAGACTTACCACCTCATCCTCGCCGGCCCGTTTATCACGGTTTATGGCGCTGCATCTGTCACCTTGGTGGCATGGTGTTGGCCTGGCACGAGCGACGTTGTGCTTCAGAACACAATCGGAAGCCGGTGGTGACGCAGGTGTGCAAACACTTCAGTCTTTATGCTGGCCCTGAAATAGCAGCCGGTTCCACAGGAGGAAAGTCGACAGGCTCAGGCTGCAGGAATGGTTTCAGCTACTGCTTGCACTGGAAACGCCAGCGCCAGCCCGGCTGAAGAAGCGACACTGAGTCTGTACTGCCAGGAACATGGGTACCACCAGTCTTCGCCTACTGTGTGGGGCGCTGGTTTTCAAGTGCCACTAACTAATAATATAATTACTTGCAGTCGAGCCACTCAAAATTAATCAGGAGCGACGTGCCTGGCCAGCTGGGCAGATCTTGGATCTACCCCTCTGCTCGCCCCCGCTGGAACAGAGCGACGTGATCCGCGGCCCAGATTTGCTCACGTCCCAAGTTTCTCCATTTCTCACGACTACTGTGAGTACTCTCAGCGCTGACAAACTCCAAAGACTCAATCCTCCAGCAACAAAGCCGAAGGCAAAGCAAAACAAAATTTGTCAAGAAAGCACAGCAGGAAGGAGTGTCGTGGGCTAGCTGCGCGCGATGGCTGCGCAAGCGCTCAGGCGTAGCCATCTAACAGTGAAAACAAAGTTCAACGCCATCATCGAGAACACGCAAGCAGAAGGGCATGAGCAAGCGCTGACTTTCAAGGTGCCACCGTGTAGGCTGAGTAGTGATGAATTCAAGGCCAAGTTCGGCGATATCTACGAGCGTTGCGAGTGGGTAGCGGAAAAGATTCTGTTGGAAGGAGTATCCGAAGCCGATACGTCAGTCGAACACTTGGCTAGCAGAATGAAGAAAGTCGTTGACGAGGCTGGGTATGACAAGCGACTGGCCTTACTCCGAGCACATCCTGAACTGCAGGGAAGGCTGACATTGACTGGTGAACTGTCGGCGGCTTCAGCATCCGAGCAAGCTAGTGCAGGATTGTATAACTGCTCACCTGAAGAATTCGCCCAGTTCCAACGCCTTAACGCCAGGTACCGGGCCAAGTTTGGCCATCCGTTCTTTCTGGCTGTGCGTGGCTTGACCCGCGCTGAAGTCCTGGAGAAGTTTGCTCAGCGTGTCGAGAACGATGCGGACACCGAGTTCTCCAACGCCTTCCAACAGATCCACAAAAGAGCTCGTCTGCGTCTGGGTAGAATGGGCAAAGCTGAAGTCTCGAAGCTGTGAATGCACAGTGTGAACATACACCGCTTTGTATTGGTATTCGGCTACCAACGGCACCGTAACTCCGTAACTCGGCGTAAGCATGCTGAAGTAGTGCATTATTATGCTGCCATGTAAGCCATGGTTGGGGCATCCAAAGACTGGTGGTAGGCTGCAAGGCAAAGCACAACTTCACACGTCAAGCAACGTGAGTCATTGAAGAGGATACTATTTCGTAGATCCGAAACCGCAGCCAGTCTTTGATCGTGTTTCTTTGTGACTGTATTTGTGCACATTCAGCCGCATGGTACATGCATAATACAGTATTGCTAGATTGTCGTACACCCTTGGCTTGAGCTTATTCTTGACTTGAGCTGTAATAAAACACTGTGCACACTGCAGTCGTCAGAGGAAATGGTCGTCCACTGACTCCTCATTGAAAGCCATGGCACCACGTGTGCTCGTGTTCGTGTAGTCCTTGCTTTGCCAATGACTGTCGCATTTGCCATCTGTGTGATAACTGCATAATTATGATTCCTATAATTATTATCTCGCACAGTTCATGGGTGCGGAGCACGTCCGGCCGGACCAACAGTTTGCGACCGCAATCAACTTTTTTGTGTGTTTTTTCGGTACCTGCACATGCACCGTCCATTCGCTTGTCGCATACGCAGGCAGTCCTTCTTCTTACGCGTTAATTTGGGAAAACGAAAATAGTCGAATGCTCTTGCCCGGGCGCATACTTCACGACATGGCCTTGGCTTTTGTACGAGAAGTCCGAGGACAAGGCGTTCTGTTCCATCTGCATGGCGGCCGCCAGGAGGAATCAGGTCCTTTTCAAGCGTGGGAGTCCAGCTTCTGTCACCAACGGATTTGTAAGTGGAAAGATGCCACTATTTCATTCCGAAAACCCAAAGCGTGCCATCTGCTGTCCACGTTGACGCTGTGCAAGCCAATAGCCCCGAAAAACTGCCCGGATGTACAGTAGCTGAGATGATGAATTGCGAACTAGTTTACTGCCCGTCAGAAAGCCCTCCCCCCCCCCCCCCCCCCCCTCTCTCTCTCTCTCCTTGCTAGGTGAAAGCATCGACCATGCAGGCCGGCATACACAGTTTTACATTGTTTCATAGATGTCATGGAGAGTACACTAGCCTTGCTTTGAGAACGGGTTTATTCACAACACCAATAGCGTGAAACCGTGAAGTAAGAACCAAATCAAAACGACAACCCAAATTCGAAACCCTTACTGATGCCATGCATTTCGTACAGTCCGGGACACCTGGTCTTTTCCAACCTCTTTTACTACAACGTATTAAAGTCCGATATGCTCCGGAATAAATGCATGCGGAATTGGTGGTGGCGGGGCCCTGCTGCTCCACCAACCTTGGTGGTCTCGACGTCTGCCCGGACAAATCCCGCCAGGAAATAGGGGAAGTAAATAAAAGAGATAGACTCGGATGGAGAGCCAAGGATTGGTTTATAGTAAAGAATAGGACCGGCCTGGACCTGTTTATCAGCTCTAGCACGTCTTCGATGCGCACTCCAACAGCCTTCCAACTTGGAAGGATCTAACTTCTAAGTTATAATTATGATAACATGGGAGAGGAATCCTTTGCTCTCCATCCGGGGAATCCTTGGCTCTCCTTCCGAGTCTATCCTTGCACACCTGATGAGTCGTCCATATCTATATGGCGAAACGATCGTCGCGTGAAACTGTCCATCTAAATTGTCATAGTCGAAGTACAGTACTTTAATCTTCACTAGTTTGAGGGAAAGAGACAACCGGGAAAAGTCTGAAGAAAAAATTGACTGTCACCACCAGGACTCGAACCAGGGACCCTCGGTTGTAGCCAGCGATGCTCTAACCACTGAGCTATGGTGTAGTACTCTAACTTAGGCATTCGGTTTTAGATGGTTCGTGTTCGCTCAGCTTCCCCTCCAATTGATCTTTGAATCTTTAGAGCCACACAATTTGTGTGGTATGTTGCTATGCGTCCTTGAATCTTGGCTTGATCTGCCAATATCGTCATCGACATGCATGTACATCCGCCTACGTCCTTCACAGCTGAGACTTTCAGCTTGTGCTTGTCTTGGTTGCGCTCATTTTCCCCTCCTATGTTATCATACAACTTAGAAGTAATAGAAGTTAGAACCTTCCGAGTTGGAAGGCCGTTGGAGTGCGGATCCAAGATGTGCTAGAGCTGATAACCAGTTAGTTGTAGAACGTCAGTACCGTCGGTCAGTGTCGTGCAATGGTACCGCATGAGCTGATTGTCAAGTAACTGGTGGTGTTAGCGGACATTAAAATTATCGTAACTGGTAGTTCCTTGGTCCTTTTTCTTTACTCTAAATAAAAGAGAAGAATTGAAAAAACAAGGCATGTATACGGAGGTTGTGCGCTCACACCTCCACTGCAGTGGGGGAATATACCCAGGAGCAGCAGGTACATACATGTATATGTAGTCATTGCACCTAGTCTATGGCACTCTTATTTGAATGACCGCAGCTGTCCGGTGTGGGTGCAGTGCGATTGGCAAGATGTGTCCTGGCAGGCTGTTCCATGTGGGGATGGCACACTCGGCGAACCCATTGCTTTATACACTGTGCGAGTTCGGGGAATTCGCTCCTCATCAGCTGAGATTGAGTATAGGATGTTGGTATGTGTACTGCAGGAACTAGTTATGGTGCTATGTGTGGCTTTTTAGTTTTTACGCCAGCCCCCCCCCCCCCAAAGTAAGTTAATTGTATGTTGCTCCCTACGCTGTATACGTGGGCGCTCGCGCTTTTCCTGCCGACTTGAATCTCACTTCACTGACTCACGATTAGGGTCCAGCGGATAATGCCGGCATTATATTCGGCATTATACGACTATCCGAGCATCAGAGCATTATGGAGCATTAGAAAGGAACAAAACGAGCATTATGTGAGGTTTGAGCGGCATAACGAGTTTCATAGTGGATAATATCGGGAAATCCCAGGTTTTTGGCAACAATCGGCTACAATCATGATCATGAGATGTTGTCTGATGATCAGTGATGATTTGGGAAGGCCTCTTTTACGGGCAAAGCACAATCATCACCATGTTACCCATGTATCAGTACAGTGATGATTGGTTTTTGCCATGAAACTCTGAGTAACAACGAAACAGCCCTATTTTACTCCTCTTGCGTACTACGCTCTTCCCATTCCGGGCATTTGAGCACTATGCATTGTACCGGCGCATGACTTTGTGATTGTGTAGACACTTAACACCTTTAGCACTAACGCTACATAAACACGTTATGATTGTAGCGATGTGGTCAGGTAAATGTATACAAGCCATTGGTGAAGCATGCCCAAGAGGCCGAGGCATGCAGTTCAAGTGACACAAATCCGGAGAAATTATTTACGAGGTTTCTTTTACTTTTAGAATAATGGAGAGCTATGGAGGAGCCATATGCGAAGTGCATATCAAACAGACGAAGAAAAGTTTTCTAGTTGTGCCAGAGGCTCTGGCGATAGCATCTCTAGCGATACTGAAGTAGACACTGATGCATTGTTAAATTTGGACCAGGATGAAGGAGCGGCTATAAACAGAAAGAGCTCGTTCCAAAAGAACTGCCTTTGCTGAGTCCAGCTCAGGCGGCTCGAAAAGAACTAGAATTTCTCATGGACTCAGTACCTAGTCGATTGCTCAGCAGCGCCTGTCTTATTTTCCTGATGAAGCACGTACAGTTAGTTGTGGACGGTTGTAATGCCAGGCCTACAGTCAAATGCTATCAGAAAGGAAGAGTATTGTGGCAAGTCATACGTCTACACACCATCTCAAGGAGAAGATGAGAGCACAAGCAAAGGATGTAGAGTGGCAAAATAACTTCTGACCACGTGTTTTCAGGATTTTCGCAAATGGGAGGGCTCTCCATCTGAGATCGGATCTCAGGAGCTGGCCTCACGTCTGGTGTTTCGGATGAAGGCATTATTCATAGAGTGGATGCAGTGACAGCTTGTCTGCAGGCAGGAATACTATTTGCCAAGATTTGTAGCGTCTCTGACGTTCTCGCATCATGACATCATCATTTGTTTGCATGTACACGTCATATTTTCCTCATCATCACAAACACTGATTCACCATACTCTCGCACACATTGTAATACCTACTACACGTACTTCGCTACCATAATAATTACGTAATGTTTGGCTAGCATAGTTCCAATACACATTACGACATCTTTTGATGTTACGCACTCCTCGCCTACAACGCTATTGTAGAAAAGTAGTCTTTACTCATCTCTTGTAAGTTCTGTTTGCATCCAAACACTTCTTCCAAACAGCACACGTCAGATATCTAACAAAACAACAAACTTCATTGCACAGTCTTCTATCACAATCTCTTTCCTATATAAACCTCCTTTCTCTTCACTTTCTTCATGACATTTAGTGTTCGCCAGTCTTGTAAAGATCTTGGAAACTAACACTCGTTGCACTGTATCTAGACTACTAAATTGGTGACCCCCGACGTGAGTAAAGTGCAATATGTCCAGCGACGATGGTTCTTCCGCTTCCGCCTCTGGAGCTTCAGCTGCCGCTAGCTCCTCCGCCCCGGCCCAAAACCAACCACTCGCCCGCAACGACCAACACGACGCACCGGACCGTCCGGTGTCTGCCATCACCTTCCGACTGCCGCAGTACTGGCCCGGCGATCCGCAGCTTTGGTTTGCACAGGCAGAAGCGCATTTTGCCAACCATCGCATCACCAACCCGCGGGCCAAGTATAATGTCGTCGTGAGTTCGCTGGCTCCTGAATACGCCGCTGAGATTCGGGACTTGCTCCTAGCGCCGCCAGCCGAGGAGCCGTACCAAGTCCTGAAAGAGGCGCTCACCGCACGCACACAAAAGTCCGATCAGGCACGGTTGCGTGAGCTACTCTCAACAGCCGACATCGGGGACAGCCGACCAAGTCGCGTCCTCCGACGCATGCAACAGCTTTTAGGCAGTAAGTCGCTAGACCCAACTATCCTGCGCGAGCTATTTGTACAGCGTTTGCC